AGAAATTTAATTGTATTTAATCATCATTATTTTAATCTGTATTTTCCTATTTTATTCCATTATAAGACCGCAGACAAAAGAAAAGATAAGACGAAGTTTTAAGACCAATACACATAAGAACAGGAAAAAAAAATAAATGAAGAAAAAAAAGGAAAAATATTTACTACACACATAAATCTGACATATACATGAAGAGAGACAAAAAAAAATTTACTCATTCATTAAACGTATATTCTCTCCTCTATTGCTTTTTTTTTCGATCAAAAAAAGTACACACATGCCCAATACTACAATGTGGTATGTTATATCACGGGGTAGAATGAGAAAATAATAAGAACAAAAAAAAAACATAAATGCTATTTCATATGTAGGGCATTGTACTGTTGTTGTTGCGCTTGAGCAGCAGCTGCTGCTGCTGCCCGTTGCTGTTGTACTTGTTGACTCACTTTAAGTGAACGACGAAATATCAAAATATGTGGTTCTATAAATAACAAAAATTATAAGAATTCATTTTAATTTTTCTTTTTTATTTACCTGGCTCATGTATCATAAAATGAACCCAACCAAGTGATTGTTGAACGCCAAGATGACGCCATTCATGTTCTGTTAATAATCGACCTTTAGTTACTTTTTTAGCAATTTCTTTAGGTAAAATTACATGACGATATTCATACATTTCCTAAAAAAGAAAATCTTTAAGAATTAAATTTTAAAAAATATTTTCTTACATCTTTGTATGTATCTGAATAATAGATCTGTTCTTTTTGTGATTCTTTTTCTTTTTGTGCAGCATCTTTAGCAGCCATTTCGAACGACAAATATATTAAACGACGACAATTGCAAAATGATTTTTATCAATTATTTATCTAAAATAAATTAAATTTTCGATGAACGAATAAAATATATATATATTAAAAAAGAAAATAGTCGAATTTCACAACATAAAGTTATCTGACATTAATGACAAGAAAAGTATTTGAATCACATAGGAAAAATAAATAAAAATAATACAGACAAATATTGTTTATCTATCACAACGACTTTCAAAGCCTGATTCATTATATTCATCATTGAGATTATTATTAATCACTTTATAAGGATTAACAGCCATTCGAAGAGCACCACGTATAGACATATTATTTTTTGTATTTGTTGCATCACCAAGTGGATAAGTTGATGATGTATTATTCATAGTTGCACTAATAGGTATACGTGTTGTTGGAAAATGAGTATTTTGTTGTTGCAAAGATGGATCAGATTCAACACGATATTTTAAACAACGACGAAACATAAGAACAAATGGTTCTATAAAAAACAATAATATCAATTGAATTTATAAATAAAAGATTCTTTACCAGGTTTATGAATCAAATAATGTTCCCAATTTGGTCCTTGTTTAATACCTAATGCACGCCATTCACATTCGTCCATTAATCGATTTTTTGGTATCAATGAAACCATACTTTTATCCAAAATGACGTGTCTATATTGATAAGAATCATCTTCATCTAAACAAAACAAAACATCATAATCATCAAGATAAATATATAATTTTCAAATAAAATATACATGTAGATGAATAACGTGGTTGTTTTGCTTGTTGATTAGACGGCATAATAATAATAATAATAAGTTATTAAAATGGCTGAATCTAGAATGAACAAAATGACACAACAACAAGAAATATATCCAATAATTTTAATAGAAAAAAACAAACTCTGAACATGTTTATCTTTTTTCGGAAAAATAAACTGTTTGTACAAGAAACAAAAAAATTAATTTTTCACTCGATCGAATCTAATTCGACTAGATATTTATTCTGTTTTTAACATTTCATAAAATTTTCGTTGTTCTTCAGCTTTAAAATCTGCTTTAGGTAAAGCACGTTTTAATCCACCATCCCATTCTAAATCAACAAAACCACCTTGTTTTGCAATAGCTGCTTTAACACGACGAGCAAAATCAATAGATGTTTCATCTTTTTCAATTGTCATCGGTGGTAAATAATAAACATCAACAACAATTGCCCATGATGTCATCATTAATATTAAATATTGAAATAAATCATGTTTAGTTGAATTCCAAAAAGCATCACCAAAACGATTATCATATTTTATTGCAACTGGATAAATAGGTGCTTCAGTTATTTCAAAACAACCTTTTTTAAACATCATTACTGATGTATTATTAATACATGTACCTTCAGGAAAAATTAATATTGGTAAATTATTTTCAACTTTAATATGTTCACGCATTTTTTCTGCTACCATATGACGATCTTTTGTTTCTGAACGTTCAAACCATATATGATTAGCTGTATTAGATAATGTTCGTTGTACCATACCGAAAAATCCACCATGTTTTTGTCCAATCATTGAAAAACTATTATCTGTTGATAGAATAATAACATCAATAGGTGATGTATGATTAGCAACACATATTGAACCACATTTAGCACGATATTCCGTATTATGATAGGTTATTATCGCAGAAAATACACGCGATAATATACGATGTAAAACAATATTTATATAGAAACCATAACGTAATTTTGCATCTCGTTTTGGAAAATATTTAAGAAATACAGCTGAACCCAACATCCATAAAATAGCAAGAATAAATAGACAAAGACGAAATGGAAATAATAGAAAATACCGTACACAAAATCCAAGAAACCATAATAATGTAATACGTGCAGAAAAATATTCATGTTGTTGTTGTGTACGTGTTAATAAATTCCATACCGCCATTTCTTCAGCAGATGTAAAACGTTTTGTGACTTCATCATCAACAATAGCTTCAAGACCTTGACGTGTAAAATGCATAATATCTCCTAAATTAAGAAAATTTATCAATAATTCGATGTAAAACAGTATATATATCGGATTATATTCGAGGACAAGTATTATCAACAAAAATGACCCTGTTAGATCTAAACGTATTGAATTACGATAATTAACTTTATGTATTATTTCTCTCGATTTTCTTTTTGTAATCTTTAAATTTTCCGAAGGTTATATATTTTACTGGATCGAGAAAAGATAAAAATCGTCCTTGAATTTCTTTTATCAAAAAAATAGATCGAATTGTTTTTAATAATATTTTACAATAATAAATATTTCTGTAATAGGAAAAACTATTCTTACCTAATTTAAATTGAATATCCGATTGTGATGAACTTCTTGTTACTTTTTGATCTTGATCAGTGGTTATTAATTCTTGAGATTTATCTTCATCATCAATTTTTCTTGATGAATCACTAATTAATGGTGTTTGAGAAGTAATTTCAATGGGATCATCATCTGATTTTTCTACAATAGGTGGTGCTGATGTTTTAGTTGATTTTGTTGTGTGAGAAGGTACTGAAGATGATTCATCAGTAGATACATCAGGATCATTTGAAAGTTCTTTATCTTGTTTGATTTTTGTTGCATAATCAAATACTAATCCTAGTAATTTAACATATAGACTTCGTACACCAAGTGACAAATTTAATGCGGCAAGTGTAAGTACAAGAGCAGCTATGCTAATCATAGGCGTACATAGAATGCCTATAATTGTGAAAATTTGTACTGTTGTTGCCATTATTTATTAGAAAATTGTACAATAATAAATGTCTAGAAAGAACAAAAACTATATAAGTACAAAGTTCAATACAATGAAGAAGAAAAAAATAATCTATCCAGGTCATCTACTGATTTGTATGATTATTTCATTGAGGTTCAGAGAAATTATTTGTTTTTTTTCTAACACATACCTGAATTTATTTGTTTTGATTAGTCTGTTCATGATAATATATATGCAAATTAAACTGAAAGATAAAAATGTACATTACATCTGATTTTTTCTTTTCTTTTCTTTTCCAGTTTCTATCACTCGTACATATGTATGGATCGAGATATACATATACATATATATTTCGTTTATATTCTTTCTCGAAAAGAAAACAAGCGATGACGGACTAATCATTTTGTATTTCGACACCCTCGATTATGAAGGGAGAAATATACTGCGCATTTATAAACACCTGAGAGAAAGGAAAATAGTACGATAAGGATGAGAAAAAGCGACAAACTATATCCAATACTAAACAACAACAACAACAACAATAAATAAAACATTATCGTTTTTCGTTTTTCGATTTAATAAAATATTTTTTGATTAAATTGACAATAAAAGAAAACAAACTAATATAAATGAATAAAAGTGATTAAAAATAACTAAGAATAAAACCCATCTACTGCATAAATATATATATAAAACGTATCACAAACTTTGATTAATGAGAATAAATGAAATGTCATTATTATTTTTTTATCACAAACAGAAGCGACAATCAGATCACAAAAGCAGAATAAATAAGTTTTAAATATTAGCTTGATTCTTATCATTATTATCATCTAAACCTGCTTTTACAGTATGTTGTGGAACAGTTACAACATTAGCAAGAGGTAACATTGATTTAATTGGATTTAATGTTAATCTTGAAATAGAGAGAAAAAAAATTTGTTTTTTTCCTATTTAATAAATATATATTTTATATTCTTACTTATGTAATACAAGCATACTAATACCAGCAAGTACCAAAAAGAATATACAACTCATAAAAATAATTTTTAAATGAAAATCCTAAATAATTAATATAGTTGATTTTAAAAGAAATATTTTTAATTTTACTCGAAGAAGAATCACAACCACAATTAAATTTAATGGAATTCGAAAATAATTCATCACAGTAGCACGAGCTATTCAAGAAATACAAAAATAAATAAATTCTACATGATCAAATTAGATATTTAACAGACCTTCTTCTGGAACGTATTTACTTCGCATTGTTGCCATAGCTCTAATTTAATAGATAATGAGAAAATTATATAACACACGAAATAATGATGTATGGGTGTCCATAAAACATGGTTACATAAATACAGATATAACTTGCACATTACACGATCATACATACTCTTGCGTATGAATGTATCATGAGTTGTGTCCTCAGTATTTCAGATGCTTTTTTTTGGGTGAAAGTGATGAATATGAAAACCAAAACGTGGTATAGAATGTGACAGATAAAAGTTGATTCTATCAAATCATTTCTCGGATAGAAATTTACTGGTTTCCGCTACTTGACACGATGTAAGGAAATCAATCAGACGTTTTCTACTCAATTAATGTTAACACTATTTGATCATTTCGAGTACTTACTATCATAGAAATTGTGTCGTTATTATAATTTACATAGCTATATATAAGTCTCGTCCTATCTAAGAAAATAATTCTATGTTTATTAAGGATATATATATACACGTATTGAGATTTGATAAGCTGTATCACAGACTGACCTTGAAGGTGTGAGTAATGGTAGAAAACGCACTCATAGTGCATATTATTATTTATAAGTGCCATGAAATATGCATACAGACAGATTATCGAGATGAAGATTCATAATATTAAAAATCTCATTACAAGTTGTATCTGTTTTCATGTAGCTCTTTAAAAGACAGTTTTTAGAAATTTTTCTTTCTATATAATTTCTTTAAGTGTAAGAATATAAATTTTATAAAAGTCCATGTAATCATGTGTAAATGTCAGAAAGAAAAGAACAAAGTTTTCTTTTAAATTATAAAATATTTCTAATTTTCTAAATGTAATAACTTACGGCCAGAAGACACCAACACAGAATTCGAACACTAGGAATGATGCAAACATTACCACTTGAGCCTATAAAATAACAACCGATATATTTCATCTATTGATAATTTTTCATTTACCGTAGGCATAAAAACTGGTACACACATGCATAGAGCCGAAATAAAAACAATTGGTCTAAACAAAAAATACAATAATACATTTGATTAAATTCAAATTTTACCTCATAAATGATTCCGGTGTTGTATAATTCGACATCACTTTAAATAAATTCGATCCTATCATCATCGCAACCATATAACTAGCAAAAACATATCCTAAATAAGACCAAAAAAATGACAGATTATTTGTTTTCTGTTCATATCATCAATCAAAATTTATACCATGTGGAATTGGTGGATTTTTATTATCGGTTTTATTAATCACAGACTTATCTAAAGCTTGTGTTAATGCCGGTGTCCATTCAAGAACAAATACATACATTGATGCTTCAAATAAAGCTTGAACAATACCAAGAAGAAATACTTTTTTATCTATAGAATAATACATATATAAAGATTTTGTTTTTTGTTTTCGTTACAATTTATTTACCAGATTTAATTGCTTTATATGCAGAAATAAATGATTGAGATATTGGTGCACTAGCATCACCATAATTTTCAGACCAAGTAGTTATTAATAATACACACATAGCGATAAATGATAGAATAGCACTATCGAATGGAGCTCTACAAGAACAAAAAAAATATGTTTATTTTCATATCGTTTTTCTTTCTTTTTTTACAAAGGTTACTGTCTTAATATCAAATTAGTTATTTTTCTTTTCTAATGATCAACATGACGATCGTTTTTCACTATTCATTAAATGAACTAATTATCACTTTTTATATAATATCAATTACTCAATATTAAGACATCTCAAGTCTCACAATCTAAGATACAAATCGAAATAAAAAAATCTCTTTGGAATAACAGTCTATGTTGAGAAATGATTAATTTTGTCTTATCTGTAATCGTGGAAATAAAAACATCCTAATGTGCCTTCTATCGATACGTAAAAATAGAACAAGTCTTCAGTTATTCAAAAAAAACATTCTATCTCGATATCAATAATCTAAATCTTACACATATCCAAATGTATTTGCCGCGACTTGTGCAACAATTCCCGATAGAATAGCCACGACAGAATTTCCAAAATATGCATTTGCAAATATAATACCTAATGTTTCTGGTTCAAAATTTCTCTAGAATAATAAATAAGATTAAAAAAAAAATTTTTTAAATTTTTATCAATTAATTTAAGTTACTCGTTGATGTTCATTTATCAACCATGATTCAAAAGCACTAAATAAAATCGATGTAGCCATACCCGCAAGTAATCTTCCAAAAAATAAGACGTAAAAATTTGGAAAATGCTATAAATTATATTCATTTATTAAATAAATAAATTTTGTCTATCTAATCATTAACCTTCGTTGCGCATGATATACCATAGAGAATACCATACATTAAACATGTATTTCGTCTACCACTAGAAAAGTATTTCATACAATTGAGAAAATAGAATAAAATCTTTTGTTTATTTACTATTTATCAGCAAGTGAAGCAACAATAGTACCGAATATCATTGAAGAACCAAACCCGGCAATGAAAAGTACTTCAATCTCATGCTTTTGAATTCCATAACTTTCATACAATGCATAAACATGAGGTCCCTGAAGCCAATCAGCAGCTAATACAGTAAGAAATATAGTTTCTATTTATAGTTAAATTTTATTTACCGGCGGCTAATAAGTAAACCAGTAAATAAGTTTGTTGAAAATTTCGATAGTTTGGATCTTTGGATTGTTGTTGAACTTGCCGAGTGTATAAATGAATAATTATACAGACAACTATCAAAAATCCAAGCGCAAATACAAACATATCCATTGCCAGTTTTCTTTCAAATCGGAAAAAAACGAGAAAAAATGAACACTCGTCGTTATGCTTGAGTGGTATAAAGTAAAAAAAAATGAGAACAAGGTTTTTTTTCTTTTTCTTCAATGACTAGAAACATTATACATTAATCAACTAAAAAACAGACATATAATGCATTTACACGTAACCAATTAAATGATTTTTAGGAAAATAGAAAAAATAGATGTCGTTATATATAGAGAATCATAACAAGTTATGCATTCGGAAAACATTAGAATAGGACAAAAAATAACATTTGGGTAAAATTGAATCTCAGTATTGTAGTGTAATCGTGATTAGATAGATACGAATTCAATGAATAATAATTATAATGTCATTGGTGAATTGCCGGAACTCGGATTAGATTCCTGCAGAACTTTATCTAATGTTGGTTTAATTGGCCGGAACACATACTTTGTAGTTTTTACAATGTCAAGATGGTTTTACATCAGTTTGCATCAATCAAGATTAACCTAGTCTTATTTTTGATGTTTGTATGTGTTCTTTTCTTAAAAACATTTTTTTATTTCATCAAACTAAAGTATTCCATGTCTATTAACTATAATTTAACATAACAGATCTTAAGAATGTTCTTAATTAGTCCATGTTGAAATATTTTTCTTATCTATTTCCTAGTTTTTTGATCTTTCACATACCCTATTTATATATATGTATAGATTATATCATCGTAGTATATTAAGTAATACTCTCAAGCAATAATAAAAAGCATAACTATCAATTATTATTGCGTGAGAATACACGTAATATTACGAAATATTTATTAAATAGATTTGCCATGTTTATATTATAAATCATTTTTACCATAGTTAAGCTTCATTTTTCTTTCCAATACATAAAAAGAAATGAATAAATACATTTTCTTGTCTTTCAGTTATTTATTAATCATTATTGAATAGCTTTTCTTTTTTCTTTTTCTTTTTTTCATTTCATGTGATGCTAATGTGACAGCGTCAGTTTGTTTTACTAGTTCCGCCTTCTATTACTAATAGTATGCACATAGAATTTAACCAGTCAGATTCTCAGCTTGATGAAATGAACTAGTTGTTTAGTACATTTATGAATACAAAATGAGTATCCAAGTGAGAAAATAGAATTATGAAAAAAATCTTTTTATTAACGGTAATATCAAAGAATTTGTTTTTTTTTGTGAGTATGTAGAAAAATACAAGAAACACTGTATATCATTAGTTATTGCTGCACAAGCAGAGAAGAAAAAAAATCACTGTGATACACACGCACACACACATACACAAAATTGGAATAAAGATTTCCCCTGCATGACAACACATCAGATCGGGTTAGTAGAGAAATAGAAAAGAGAAAATTGTTTTTGTACAATTAATAAATGTACAGATTTAAGGCACTAACATTTTATCATCATCATCACTACTTGCTAGTTCATCCTCAATCGAAGTTAGACGTGCCGATAATGATGAAGTTTGAGATTGTGGTTGCTGTTGTTGTTGTTGTTCTAAATGATCTCGCATTGTATTTAATGGTATATGTTGCTTACGAATACGAATCAATGTTGAAGATGAAGTAGTAGTCGGAGCAGATGTCAAGGATTGTAGATCATTTTCATAACGAAGAGATGATAATCGTTCTTCAGTATAAGGTGGTGGAAGTTCTCGAGATTGAATACACGATTGTGCTGTAAGACCAATCGACTGTGTTGGAATACGATGTTCATGTGCCTCAACATTATTTGGTGAAATACGGTTATTATTAATTGAAAGATTTGTCGTAAATAATGAACGAAATTGAGAACGAAAACGATCAAAGCGATTTATGGACGGAACAGAAGTGATAGGATTTGAGTGCGTAATAGATGGGTCAATTAAAGCAGTATGAGAATCTAAATAGAAATATTAAAAATGAAAAATAAAGATCTCTCTCTATATATATATATATTACTTTCACTTTCTCCTCGTCGATGATGATGACGATGACGTCGATGTCGACGATGTCTTCGATTTCGATGCCTTGATGTTCTTGAATTTAAATGTATCGATGGCACTGGTATAAAATTAGCTAAACCAGCGAGTCTTAAATGTTCCGCTAGAAATGCTTGTCTTTCTTCATTATCATCTGAAAAACCCATTGTTTGATTATATGATGGTGGTGCTATACGTCGAGTTTCATTTGATATAATTGTTGTATCATCATTTGATGATCGTTGAAGTTCTTCTCGTCGTTGTTCAATATATCGTTGTGGATTTAATAAACGATATGAAGCACGTCGTTCAGCTGAACGTAAATGAAAAAGTTTACAAGTACATCCAAGTGCTATTATAAATAATGTAGAACAAATAGTAGCACCAATAACCGCAGCTGTCATTATTCGACGAGGAATACGAGCTGGACATTTTTTTTCATCAGAATTATCACCACAATCATCGGTACCTAAATAACGAAAAATATATTCAAATGTGCTAAGCAAAAGATAACAATAGATCTTACCATCACAAACCCATGTTTCATAAATACAATTCAAATTTTTACAAAGAAAAGTTCCATTATTTGAATTACACCACCAATTCGTACAATTTCTTTCATCTGTACGATTTGCACAAAATGCATTACCATTACAACGTTCATACCATGTATAACATCTTGGTTGATCTGATGGTAAACGTAATGGATCATTACATGCAAATGTTGTTGGACATGATGCTGGAAAGCAACCTAATTCATCATCACCACTTATACAATCCCAAATACCTTGAAAAAAAACAGAAATGAATACCGAAAAAAAATAAACTAAATTCTTATTTACCATCACATCGTTGTTCATTTGTATAACATTTTAATTCATAATGTCCACCACAAACCATTTGATCATCTGGACATAAACTTGTTAACCATGTTATATTTAATAAAATATTATTTTGTCTAATAGGTATAGGTAAATTTTGATTTTGTTTTGAATGTTTTCGTATAATTATTGTTGCAATATGATTTTGATTTGTTTGTACAATTTGTTTCATTAATAACGAATTTGATGATATAAGTAGATGATTATCTTGTTCACTACCATCATAAACTAAGAATTCTAAATCAGGACGTTGATTAAGAAATTTATATTGATTTATAATTAATTTTATTTTATGTTTTTCATCAGCAATTATTATAAGACATAATGATTCACGATTAGAAAGCATGGAATTATCAAGGGAAATTTCACCATGAGTTTGATAATATGAAATTATTGTTTCACAATTTGAAGAATACGAACATTGAGATGATTGATCATGTGGAATGCAAACACCTTTGCAATTATAAACAAATTTATTAAAGCATGAATAATTATTTTTAGAAAATTAAATATAGTATGTTCGTTAAGAATTGGCTATATTTAGAAGGATTATTTACAAGTACAAGATAATTATAACATCATCATCATTAAGATTGTCTGAAAAATATGTCAAATTAGCTATACAGATTCTTCTAGGCCAAAGTACTTAGTAGCCGAAGATAGGAATTCTAAATCCGATATTATATTGCATGACAAAACGTTCAAGCAATCAAATAAGAGGAAAAAACATTTCTTATCAACAAAAGTCAATTGAAAATTCATTATTCACTGATATATTATATTATGTTGGAAACGACTCTCATATTACATTAAAAAAACACTATTATATACTTTTTAACGCTATTTCATATGGTAAAACTCATTAATTCACAATAGAAGCACAGATGTTACATATTATTTTTATACCATCATTTACTTCTCTATATAGCTACGAGAATTTCTTCGACATATCAGTCAAATAGTTTAATAATGAAAGTAGACTTATAAGCTCATAGACATTCAAGAACCGGATAATTATTTTTTTTCTTCTTCTCATAATAACATATTCAAAAACAAAATTATTTAACAAAAGTCCCTATGAATTGTCTAGACCAATTTATTTCATTTCATATTAAAGTCATAGTCAATATTCATCCTTGAAATTGATGAAAATAACATCAAATAGATCACTATCATTTATTGTTACGAAAAATATCATAAAGATGTTTATCAAGGCGGAACATAGAAATAAATATGTTTTCGCTGGAATGATAGTTTTATGAATATTAGTAATTAAATTTTTACCTTTAGGATCAATTTTATTCGAATGATTTGTCATTGGTAAACACCAAATTTCATTTGAATGACATAATAAACTATTTGATGGTTTAACAATTGAACATATTGGACAATTCTCTTCATCACTGTAATCATCTAATAAACATTCATATAAACAATTACATTTCCATTGTTTTGGTATTATTAAACCACTTTTTAAGCAATGAAAATAATCATTATTATCATCATAATTATTTACATGAGAATATTCAAGTAAAAAACGATGAATATTTAAACTAATTGATTGTGTTCTTGGTCGAAATGAAACTTCTAATTTTGATGATAATGATGGTATAGAATAGATTCGTTGATTAATATCATTAAGAATTATTTCTCTTGAATCTGTTTTTAATACTAATTCATTTGATGATTGATTATGATCATATTCGATTTCAATTAAACGTAATGAAATAACATAATACGATTGAATTAATTCTTTATTTTCATTATTAATTAACCATGAACATGAGATATTGTTTGGTTGAGATTCACCCAAATAGAAATTTAAATTTTCAATATGACCAAATGTTAGATTATAATATGATACATTCCAATATGAATAAGTTGATTTTAATAAAAGAAAAATGATCAGGATAATCCCATGATAATCATAAGACATATCTGGAATAAAAACTAAAGGGGTTTCAATGTCATGAAATAAAATGACTTCTCAAAAAAAAAGGGAAAGAGAAACACAAAAAAAAATAGCCATGTTTTTAATCTAAATAATGATCCTCTGTATTTTATGTCGCTACACTCGATTGATAGAACAAAAATATTTATCTATATAAGTAGTTGTTTTTATGAATAAATCAGGTGATATTTAATTTATATAGAAAAAATAAAAACATACGTCGAGAAAAAAAGAATATAAAAGAACAGATTTATTTGTCAATATTTTTAACCAATAAAGAAAAAGAAATGTTTTTTTTTTCTACAGACAAGAGAAAACATCTGTCTATGCATGATTGAATGAGGTCTACTTGACATAAACGAGTATTAGTACCATGTATTATTCTATAAAATTAATTATATTATTTCGAAGACAATAAGAGAGCAGTTTTTTGATTAGAGGAAATGATTAGTTACTTGCGTGTTTCGAATCCAGATGAAGTGAGACATGTTATTTATTGTCTAACCATTACGGAGAAAATTACCATTTGTATGTCTTCTCTTTAAAAGATAAGAATTAATAAGGAAAAAACATGAGCTTAGATGAATAAATAAAGATTTTTATTCCTGACAAAAAAAAAGTGAATGCTATGTGACGAAAAGAAATTTTTTATAAAGTAAATATTTGTTTTAAAAATGGAAGTAAACTTAGAAAGAATTCTTTTAAAATAAAAATTACCTATGCCATCTATCAGATATAGTTGTAAATATAAAATTTAAATAAATAATATACCGTAAAAGTAAACCTACTTGTGTCGATGCAAAGACCGTATTGAGATGAGTTCCACAGAGAAAACGGAAATTTATAGCTGAGTTCATGATGACTTTTCAATGCTTGATTAAGTCAGAGAAATAGAGTGTCGTGATAGCATGTTTTTTATTTATAGCAGGAAAAGATCTACTTCGTCAATATAATGAAAATAATTACACCTCGATAGATGTCATTTAATAAAAGACTTTATCTTTTATCCGATTTTAAAATCTATTAATATTTCAGAATTTAATTAAGCATATTAACCATCTGTATAATGTCGTCATCGATTTATGAAATATTTCATTACATTCCACCAGCTGTCAATCAATGTTTATTAACACCTTTAACTAATAATATATCTAATTCAAGTTCATTTATTATTCCATTACAACAACCATTTATCCCATGTCAATTGCATAATATGACCGATAATTATACAAATCATGTACAACTTGTTGATAGTAATTATTTAATGCGTGCACCAACACATTTCGATTGTTATGTACTTTTATTTTTTGCTCGTTGGTGTCAATTTTCAGTTCGTTTTGCACCCTATTTTAATGCAATACCACGTGCATTTCCTGGCCTAGATTTTGTTGCATATGATGTATCAAAATCGCTCCGGTATATTAAATAAATAAAGAAAAAAAAATATTTACAGATCTTTATATTTATTTTAGTTATATGACTTATTTTGGTACAAATGCTGTTCCAAGTGTATTTATATTACGAAAAAATAAATTATTAGCAAGATTAAATAGTACAAATGATATTCAAATATTTATTTCTCTTATTGAATCAACATTACGTATGTATATTAAAAAAACAAAGTATAACATTTATCTTTTCTTTAATAAATTATAGATTTAAATCAAACAACTAATATAACAATTAATGAAGAAGATCGTCTTGGACCTGTAACAACAATATTTGAACCATCATTTGATTATGCATTACTTTTCTCATGGTTATTCGTAGGTTTATTTATTTATTATTATGCTGATAAATATAATCTTTTATCAAATATACGTCAAAGATTTTCTCATGAAAATTAATTTCATATATTTTTCATTTTTTTTGTATAATGTTTTTGTTTTCTTTTTCTAGTCAGTTGTTTATTAATTCTTTTGTTTGTATTTCTAGATGAAATATGATATACATTTTTTGTTTTTAGAATTCTATCAAGTTTGTGTATCTTGTCGTCTAGAAAGAATTGTTTAATGTAGAATATGATTAAAAAATTCTAAGATAAAAATCTACGTTCTTCTATTAATTTACATAACAAAAGCACATGATCTTTAAAAGAATGCTTTATTTTATTGTCGTAAGTTGATATATAAACTTGCACTTTCATCATTATATCTGCATCATGCAGTGAAAAGGTGCAAGTTGTTTTTATTAGATAATCAAATATTTACATGTGTCTGATAAGTTTTCCGATGTTATATTTTTTTATCAGTATTCTTGTCAGTTTAAATTAAAAACGTTGTTGTTTTTAAGAGAGAATGTAACATTTCACTTATTTCATTGCTGTCGATGATGAGTGCAGACTACTCATCCGATTTTTTTTTCTTCGTCTAGTGTCGACAATGCATGGATTGCTGTCACTTCTTTTTTTTTTCTGCGTCAGTCTCCAACTTTATCGGTAAATGTTTTTTCATTCCTTTTTTTTCCCCTCTCTTCCTTATTGGATAGAGGAAACGACATGCAATAGTAACGGACCTCGCATTTTTTTTTCTTCTTATTCTCCGTCTTTTCTTTTTCTTGTAGTTTAAACTTCCGATGAAAATTTTTGTCGCAATCTATTTGCCATTAATATAATAAGTAGCTGGACTAAAAATCTGATACGTAATATGAAAATGTAAGATTGCAGAAAGAAAAAAGATACTCTGCATGTATTTGTTGTAATATAAGATTGTTGCAAAGAATAAAACTTGCTACTTATAATTATTTCTAGATCATCATATCATAATGGGTAAAGGTAGTAAAAATTTGGATGATGATCAACAACAAGAATCATCTGTAATGACAACATCAAGTTCAGTGATAAATGAAAATGGAAATGGAAAAGGACAATACACATGGGAAGAGATTCGTCGTCATTCAAATAAAAAAGATCGATGGCTTGTTATTAATAACCGAGTTTACGATGTTACAAAATGGGTAAAACATCCAGGTGGCCAAATGGTTCTTAATCATTATGCCGGCCAAGATGCAACTGTACGACTAAAACAAAATTATATATTTTTTCTCTTATAAATTTTCCGTTTTTTTTTAGGAAGCATTCCAAGCTTTTCATCCAGAGATAACGCGTGTTCAAAAATATCTTAAACCATTTTACATTGGTGATGTATGCAAAGATGATGAGGATAATACTGATGATGATCAAGCATTACGAGATGATTTCGAAAAATTAAAACAAAAGGCAATTGCGCAAGTATGAGAATTTTAAATTTTAATCAAATCATTGTTTGTTTTTCTTCTTCTTAGAAACTCTTTACACCAAGCCGTTTATTTTTTATTCTTGCATGTTTACATATATTAGCATTTGAATATGCTGCCTATTTTGTTGTTTTTCGATTTGGTACAGGTTGGTTACCTTACCTAGCTGCAATTGTATTTTATGTCATTGCTGAAGTATGATTTCCGATATTAACTTTTTCTTATTAGAAATATTTTGTTTTATTTTTAGGCACAATGTGGTTGGATTCAACATGATTTCGGACATTTATCGGTTTTTAAAAAGAGTAAATGGAATCATTTATTACATCAAATATTTATCGGTTTTACAAAAGTTTGTTATATTTTTTCGTCGAAATAATGATATATTTATTCTTTTTTTGCTAGGGAGCAAGTGCAGATTGGTGGAATCATATGCATTTTCAACATCATTCAAAACCAAATGTAATTGATAAAGATCCAGATACACGTATTGAACCAGCGTTTGTCATTGGTGATAAAATTCCAATAAGAGTAATTAGATTTCTGTTTATTATTATCTATGTAACCTTTTGCTTTTCTTTTTGCAAAGGCCGCACACCGTGATGTTAAATATGGCAAAAGTTTTCCATATCATCTTCAATATTTATATTTCTTCCTTGGTAAAAATATTTCTCATTAAATTTTTTCTCTTTTTTCTTATGTTTTCTATTTTAGCTGCACCATTATTATTTCCTCTCTATTTTCAATTCACGACAATACGACATGCAATAAAACGACGAAAATGGATGGTATTATTCCAAGTATATTTAATTAATTTATTTTTCTTTTCTTTTCTCAGGATGTGTTTTGGTTAAGCTTATTTTACATCAAATTCTTTACATTAATGCCATTAGTATTTGGTTTATTCGGCGCAATTAAATTACTTTTTATTATTCGGTAATTCGAAATTTATTTTCTAAAATTAATTTTATTTTTTTATTAAAAATTCTTTTAGTCTTTTCGAAGGTACTTGGTTTGGTAAGTGAAAAAAAATTCTTTTTCTTTTCTATTGATATATTAATTTAGTTGTTGTTACTCAATCGAATCATGTCGTTATGGATGTATCACATGATGATGAAAAATCAAGTTGGTTTCGAATGCAATTAAAAGCAACTTGCAATATTGATCAATCCTATTTTAATGATTGGTTTACTGGCCATTTAAATTTTCAAATCGAACATCAGTAAGATTTTTGCTCGATAGAAAAATAAATATAAATCCTATTGTATTCTAGTCTTTTTCCAATGATGCCTCGTCATAATCTGTATAAACTTAAAGCCGATGTAATGGATATATGTCGTAAACATAATATACGTTATATTTCAAAACCAATGGGACAAGCATTTGTGGATATTTTAACGTAAATAAATATTTTATTTTTATTTTTCTAATAAAATTTTCAATTCATTTTTAGTTCTTTGGAAAAATCTGGTCGTATGTGGCGTGAAACTTATGAAGAATTAATGCATGCGTCTAAAACAATAAATTAAATATATGATTATTAACATTTTATATAAGACAGATTCTACTATGTCCACAATTCGAAATGGCGATCTCATTCACATCCCATTTTTTTTATAAAATTGATTTATGTTGACAACTAGAAGCAAAATAAATAAAACAAATTTAAATAGCTTTATTTCAATAAAAAAAAACATCGCCATAATGATTGAAATAATCACAAGAAATTTTTCTTATATATATATATATAATATATTATAATAAAACTGTTTATCGAGATTTAAATAGGGAGAGAAAAATAAATTGTCTGATAAATTGAGTTTATTACATGCCGAATTTTAATTTTGATCTTGAGATATTTGAGCTATGAGAGGTCGTGATGAGCTATATACACCTTTTACCTAAAAATAAATAATTATTTACAAAAGAACATCTCGAAGGTGTGGGTTTATGTGAATTACAAGAGACAAACGCTCATATCCTCAAGATATATTCTGACATCTACGCATGCATTCTACATTAATATGTTTTTCTGTTTAGGAATAAGTCCAAAAAAACTGAAACCTATTTTGTATTATATACCTTATTATATTTTCTTAACCATTCTTGATGTGCTTTTGATAAAGTTTTTGATTTTCCATATATATAAATATATTTAACTTGCGTCAGATCATGTAAATGTGGAATAAGTGTTGGAGCAAGTGTTGTTGAAATAATAATAAGTAATTTTTCTTTTTTTATATTAGCATTATTATTTAGTTTACCTATTTGTTTAATATATCTTTCGCATGAGTCAACTCGATCAAACAATCGAATATAACTATTAAGATTTTTTAATTTTATTTCTGTATCGATATTCGATGCTCGACGATAAACATCTGTATCAAGCCAAACAAGTGATATAGTATCGGTTTTTGTTGATAATGAATCAGGTAATATATCACGATTAATACATTTTGGTATAATTGTTGTATTTCGTTTCGATTTTTTATTTAGTTTCTGTTCATTTGATTCCGATATATATGTTGGTACAGTTTCTTTACCATTTCGTAATGATGTTCCGTTTTCAACATTATACTTACCATTTTTTGATCCCATCGTATGTGTGAAGAATTTTGATGACGCCCTCAGCTAATTTTTTGTTGAAAATGATTTTCGTTCTTTTATTTTTTGTTGATTTAAGACGCCCCTCACATTATGTGAGAGTCGGATTCGATTTGTATTTATTATCGAATGAAACAAGAATGAAGAAAAGGAAAAAAAAGAAAAGATTGATCATTACATATTCACTTTTTTTCTTCTTGTGTTGAACTGACTAAACTCAACAGTCGATTTCAAGGAAATTTTTTTCTATTCATCATGTTAAGTATGGTGTTGGATAATTGTAAATGCTCTTGACTTTTAGATTCATTTCATTGAATGGATAAAAATTTCTAATGAGAAATAAAAACGAAGTATTTTTTTTTTCGAAAGTTTTATATGATTAGGAATTTAAAACACGATAGTAGAGTATTGTTTAGTTACATATTATTGAAATTCGATCGAATATTATCAAACAAGTATATTTAGATGAAGAGGAAAGAATCAAGTTCACACTATAATTGAGTATAGAAAAAAAACTATTATAGGCATACTGATTCTAACTGTGCAAACTCTAATAAGTCGTTATCTACACTTAAGCAAAATGGTCACGATGTTTTTTTTCGGTACTTCTTTTCTTTTTGTTTTGCGCTTCGAAATTACATTATCAGTTGATCCTCTTATCATAAACTTATCTCTCCAGTATGGCGTGATTAAAACTTTATTTTATTTCGAATTTGTCCTCTGACGTTGTAGTTACGCTTCTTAATATTCGAAATAGTCTATATCAGAAATTTTCACATAAATCATACTTGTTTATTAAAGTGGGTGTGTAAGAGAAGAGGAGACCACCAGACACCCACACTCACATCCTCAAGATATAGAACTGTAATTCGTTGGTATCTTATTTTATATAAAAATAATCATATCTAAATTCATTCTATGAAATACATGAAAGAACTTGTTCTGTTGAGTAGTTTTTAAAATAAATGGGCGTATTGCTTAAAGTGCAATTGCTTGTGAGTCTTAAAATAGAATGAAAAGAATTTTTCGAAATTGTTCGTTTTCTTTTATATAATATTTACTCTCGTTGATCATTGAAAATGTGTTAATATATGATTTTGCTAGTTGTTTTGCTTGTTCGAAACCTTCATATTGACTACCTTCATTACTATTATACCATTCGATAATTAATTTTTGATTGATACATTGATGATTAATAAAAAATTGTAATAAAAATGACATAATTCCATCTATTCGAGATCATTTTCTTTTCATATTTATTATAAAAATCAGATCTTCACTCACTCTTTTCGTTATCATGAAATATATTATTGAGAAAGAATAATTGTATTCCAATTAGAATATCAAAATTAGTTTCATTCCTTCGTAAATATCGTCTGATTGTTGATATATATTCATTTAAAAGAGAAAGTTTTTCTTCTGCTAATGGTTTATTATGGCAAGCTGTAAGATATGCATCGACAATAATTAATAATTTTAAGTTTTTTTCCTATTAGAACAAAAAAATACATAAAAAATTTGAATTTTCATTCATTTACTAACTTTAATATAGAGTTTTATATCGCTTTTGCTTGTTGCGATCGATGACGTAGAAGAAAATCGATCAATTAAGTATTTGTCTGGACGAACTCGTTGTGATTTTATAGGTTGACAAGTCTTTTTCGTATCTGTAATTGACTGTTTATCATTCGTACTGTTCAGATCTTAAATATGAAATATAATTAATTATAGTTTTTGAAACATAATATGATTAATCTTACTAGTTATTGGTAATTGAATTTGAGATGGTATGAATGGAAAATTTGAATCTATCTTCGCTGTTATTGGAGTCGAAAAATGCCATTTCAAGTGTACACTATCTTCTCGTACTTTTTGGATTATTTTTTGAATATGATTAAATACTTTGATGTTGAGATTTTTATTTATTCTTATACGGTCTAATGTTTGTCGAGCATTAAATTCAAGTTGTACCAGCAAGTATTTATGAAGTGTCTCTAATGTCTTTTGTCGTAAATTCATAATTTGTAATTCATGGTGATAAATTTGTTCAATTTTTGCTAATTCGTCTACTTGCCATTTATCAATAGATAGTACTAAACTATTATGTATCTCTCTACTTTTATCTGATTTATTTTTGATTTGTTGATGAATTACTTCAGCTGAATTAGAAAGTTTTTCGACATCATTACGCGGAGTACTCTGATTATGTTCCGTGATATGCAGAGCACATAATCGAAGGTTGCAATGTAAACAAATAGCTGACTGAAATTTTGTACATATCGAAGATGTTTCTTGACACTGGTATTCTGCCATACCTCTTTGAAAACGCAAGGTAAGTATACCTATGTGAGTAATGATAGATATCATGCATGATCATAACTTGTCAAAGCAAATCAAAAGTTATTGAATAGAGGGAGTCACAAGTCGCATCGATTTTTTTTCAGTAAAGACTTATAGTATTAACTCGTGCTATTACTCAGTCAACGACATCATTAATCAATATCAACAAAAATAAAAATCATGATGAGTTTAACTATATAGGGATATGAAGAAAATGAGAATACAAATTTCATTAGACTAGTACTTGTATCAAATATTGTTTTATTTTATTATCGTACAGTATAATTTTGAAGAATAAAAAATATAAAATAAGTGTGAGAATATATTACATTAAAATGCACGTGATATATTTTTTTTTTTAATTAAAAGAAAGTGTACCATTTATTTCTTGTCAGGGTCTTCAGAGGATTTATGCCATCGAAAATGATGTTTATCATGTGATTCTTTATGCGAGGATTTTGCTACATTTTGTGGTTGATCATGTTGTATTTTAATTTTATCAAATTCATCAAGAATATGTTGACATACTGTCGGATGAAAACCAGATATATTTGCTGCCGTTTTAGCGGCTTGTGAAATGTCATTGTCATTATCACTAACATTACTTTCATGTTTATCATTTTCTTGATGCTGATTATTTTCTGTAGTTGATGGAGAATCTAATACCTTGATTGATATAGATTTTTTATCACTATCACGATTTTTTACTGCTTTTTTGGCACTAGCATATGTACCTCGACCTAGCCAGGTAATTGAAGAAAGAGTACCAGCTGCAGGTTTTACGATAATATTAACAGAACCAAGTAATGCACCACCTGCACCACCCCATATACCATGACGTTGATATCCAACATACGGTTCTTTGACAATACCTACGAAACCATCTTTCCAACCATGCCATAATGATAGTCCAGCTGCTTTAGCACCCGATTTAAAATCTATAATATGTTCTCTTTTGTATGTACTCGGTTCACTATTATATATATATATATAATTAATAGAAATACTTTCTTAGAAAACAATTTTACCTGTAGGGATCGTAAAGTGAAGGAACACGATCAAGTACATCAGTTATTTCACCGTAAAAAGACAAGCATCCGATCGTAAAATGTCCTAAGCCAATACCGAAACCCTTTGCAACACTTCCAGCAGCATCTTTTGCACCTGTTGCTAGATCTTGACTTTTGGTGGCTTGATGTATTCCTTTAGCGGAATCGATGAACATACTGGAGAAACATTTTACAGTGTGTTGCATTAAACCAACAGTTGGTATACCCATATAACTAGCATACATAAATTGCCATTCCCGAGTAGCATGATAAGAAAGATCTGATTCTTTTATTATACCTGCTGATACAAGTACTTGAGCGACAGGTCTTGATATTTGTATCTTATATTTATTCAAACGATAACAAGCAGGAAATGTTGATTCAAGATCACTATGCATACGTGATAATGGTAGATTAGCATGGAATGCCCGTACTGCTGCTGTACATCCATCTTCCTTTAATAAAGCATCACGTATACGTTCAGCAGCTTCTCGTGTTGTTGGTTTATGAACAAATCTAAAAGCTTCGGCCAACTCATCTGCAGTTACAGTTTTTCCAGGTTGTGGAGCCGGTCCAGCACCATTTTTCTCTATGATATTGGCCCAAAAAAATTGATCACCGAAAAATGGTACGATAATTGTCGGTTTACCAGCGCGTAGACCAGCTGCAGTTGTACCTGCTCCACCATGATGACATACAGCCGATACTAAACAAACACCATAGAAATCGTTAAAATCATATATAATATTGTTATTCGAATTACTTACCATATTGAAAAAGCCAATCATGTGGTACATTACCAATTTTAAAAATATTATCAGGTACAATTTCCTTATTTTCACCAAAGCCAGAAAGAAGAGCTCGATAACCTGTTATATTAATAGCTTCAACAATAACTTTAAGAATACGAGCAGAATCATGTCCTGCAATAGAGCCAAAACCGATATAGATTGGTGGTGATAATTTATCATTATTCTGAGAATTAAGACCAAGAAAATTAAGTAAATCTTCAGGTGGATTAGCGAAAGTAGTACCAAGATCAAGAAAGAAAAATCCAGATACATCAATGTGTGAACCCCAATCGTCAGGTTTTGGAACAATAAATGGTGACCAACAATAAGTATGTGGCACCTGTTCATCATTCAATGCTCCTATAGCTTGACGATTATTTAATGGTTCAAGTTTTAGAATCTTCGTTCGAAAATTGTTTACAAGATCACCCATACCACTCCATGTCTACAAATTTAAAGAATATAGAAATTACATAGTTTAATTCATTTTAATATTCTTTTATCTAAAAACTTACAAGCGCTTCAAAGACATCATAAGAATAAAAATTAACTTTGTCTCGAGGTCCTTTTGTATTATCAATATTACATAATGGATGAGGAAAAGCAGTGGTAGGTGACCAAGGCATAGTAAACATCATATGTAATGGAATTTGTAATTTTTCTGCACAATGAATATGACCAAATGATGGTGGATTAGCAATGATAACTTCTGCTGTAAATGGAACAGATGTTTCATCATCATTAGCTGTACATGCATTCCATGTTGATGCAAGGATTTCAGCAAGAGATTGACGTTTTTTTGTTATATCACCTGCAACAATGCTACTCATCGAAGGAATTACACCAGCATTTTTAACCATAAATGCTATTAAATCAGCTGGATCACCCGCTAATGGATAAAATTCAAGACCATTGCCACGAACAAACGATCGAAATGGTTCATGTGTAGCTAATCGAACACGATGTCCTGCTGCATGTAATGCTTGACCAAGACTAAATATATAATTATCATAATAACAATAGACATCGTTTTAAAAGAAGAAATTCAATGATACTCACGCAATAAATGGTTGTACATCACCTCTTGTGCCAACAATGAGTACAACAATAGCAAGACGAGGTATTGGTATATCATCTAAATTTTCATGCTTTTCGTTAATGATAGGTTTAGAAGGAACTTTCGATGATGATGATAAGAATGCATCGAGTTTTTGTTTTGGATCAAACTCAATATCAATACGTCCATCATTATCATTGAAAGAAACTGTATATTGAAGAGAATCCGTATTCTCTTCAGTAGACTTCTTATTGTCATCAATTATTTTATCATCGAGTGGAATTTGTCCAGTTGCATAAACGACTTTACCATGAATCTTAAGACGAGCATGAAAAGAAAGACTCATATTTATACACAATATCAATAATGTATTTTTTGTTTCTTGATCATGTAATAAATCTTTAGTCAATTCAATTGATTTTTTTAATGACATAGATGAACCAGAAAAAATCTGTACTTTATTCAACCATATTGTTACCGTAGCATCCGATATATTCAAATTCGTATCATTTTTCGATGATTTGAAACTTAAATCAATTTGTTGATCAGGTTGTTCTTCAGATATTATCCAGTTAAATTGTTTACGATACCAACAATTATAATTTTTCTTTTTAATCTCAAGGTTATGAGGTAATTTTACAGAAACCCATTGATAATCATCATGCATCGAAGTTAACCTTGAAATTGTCACATCATCAATTTTATCAATTGTCTGTTGACAACATTGCCAATCGGAATCAAAATTAATTTTTGACAAATCGTCCGTTGTTTCAGACATATTCTAATTCAACTTTATATACGTAGAAAACGAAAAATAATGTTATGATTATATTTGTTCTTCTTTCTTCTGTACTAACACCTATTTTTATACTAGTCAGTCATATGTTAAACGTCATCAACATCATTGTATATTATTCTCATTGGCTCTTCTACAATAGTTGTATGGGATATAAGATTTTTTTTTAGAGTCGCAATAGTAAACACACCAACGTCTATTATGTACAAAAAAAGAAAAGAAAAGTATATATATATTCGTATACATATTTATACATTAAATATAACTCAAGGATTTTTTTTCTTCGTATTTGTTTCGATTATTCATCAGTCATTATTTATGACATCTATTGAATATAATAACAAGGTTAGAATCAATCTTAGATTTTATTTAGAACAACTTTTTTTATAGAAAAACTATGATAGTTGACAATGACGTTTTATTACATTAATTATATCTGGAAAATCAGGACATAAAAAATGATTTCGATCATTAAATTCATGATAGATACTTTGTACTTCTTTGGCTATATGACGACTACTATCAACTGGTGTAAATGGATCATCAGAACTATGAAATTGTTCAATCCATTGTGTATTTGATTTGATTGTATTCCAATTATATAATTGATTTTTATCATTTTTATCATAACCAGCTGATACTAATATTAAACCTTTGATTTTCATCTGTTCGCATAATCGTAAAATAGCCATAGCACCTGAACTATGTCCAACTAAAATATCATTCTATAAATAAATATTTTAATATACATAATTCTATATATGTAACTTACTTCTTTGACATTTAAATTATTTATTAGATATGGTATCCATATAGAATCTTTTGCTTCTCTTTCATCAGGCATTGCTGGTGCAAGTGCATCTATGTCTAATTTTGATAATTCTGTTTGTAACCATTTATACCAATGTCGGTTAATAATTCCAGGTGATATCGCACTACCATGTATAATTATTACACGTTGTTTTGCATTTTGATGCTAAATAATAAGTATATAAGCTAATTAAAAGAGCTCAGCAATAGCGAAACTCATATTTTTCTAGAAATTTGTTTTGAAGTCAGTGGATTTTATATTGATTAAATTTAGTTTATAAATAAAATTAATTATTATACACTCTGATAAACTCGTGAAAGAAATCTTCTGTGTATTGGACAAGCTTCTATCACTTTCTTGATCAATAAACATACTAACTGGTATTTTTTGTGTCTCGTCCATATTGTATGTAATCGTTGCGTTTATGTGACAAAAAAATAATCATAAGAAAGAGAAGCACATGTGCTTTATTATATAAGGTCTCGCCGTTCGTTTTATCAATACTTTTTTTTTCTATACGTTGCGTATTTTTCGTTCTGTAGACTATTTGAAAAAGAAGATCAAACAGCGATAATGTATAAATATATGAGAAACTTGTTTCAATCAGTAAAATTACAATAATAACAAAGAAAAATTATTGATTTCAATTTTATTAGTTTTCTAGGCAGCAGGTTTTCTGAATAGCTTCAAACTTAGATTGTTCCCCATCTTGAAAAATTCATTAAACACATATAAGTATACAACGTGTATATTATTAACAAAACGCTAACTAATCTAATCGGACATCAATGTATATTCGTATCGATTTCATGAAACAAATGTTTTTGAACACTTCTGATCATATATTTATCGTTAATAATATTCATGTTACAATATATTTCTTTCATTTATATACTTTGTTAGAATCTATAAGTGTCTAAATACAGTCAACATATTTTATTTTGTAATCAATATTAAATAAGAAAAAATATATATTATAAAATAATAAATATAAAGATGTTTTTTATTTTCATAGTAACGACATATTCAACGAAAATTTCAGCATTGATCCCATGATACTGCGTGTTTCGAAGGAACCGTTGTTATCTTGTTGGGAACACAGGTGTGGTTATCATCATTTGTTGAAGTTCTGCGCTGTTTAATTGCAATAATAATATAAGATGACATAGCTATTGTAAGATAAACAAGTTCAAGAATAATTTGTGTACGAACACGCAATTTGGATATATAAAGAAAAACGATGACAGCTCCAGCATTCTGAGCACATGCAAACAATGAATAAGCTTCTGTTATCTTGTCTGGTAACATCGAACTGTAAAAAGCTACAAAAAAATAGCAAAATATTAGTGTTTGAGAGAGAAGAGTCTTAGATTCATATATGAATGTTTTGTGTGCTTTATAGAGAATTATTCTATCATCAAAGAAATGTTAGAGATGTATAAAACAACAATTTTCCCAATATATTTCCAGAAAAGTTTTCGTCGATTTTGTAAATATATGAATTGGATGACTTATGGATGAATAAGTGGCATGTTGAAATCTTTAGTATATCTCTCAAATATTGAAGTTATCAAAAGAAATCTTATGTCACACCTGTTATAAATGGTTCTGTGAGTCCATCTGAAATACTTGATAAAAATGGAATGATAAATAATACATATGTTTGTGAGACTGTTGGCTTCCAGACAAGCATAACAATGAATATTGTGTAACTTAGCAATGCTGCAATTAGAAAGCATACTGGTCGACTGTACTTGAATTTGACTGTATAAGCAACAACGATCGAAGAGATAGTGGCTGTAATGCCATATATTGTCATAATTAGACCTAAAAATGAATGTTATTATTCGATATGAGATGAAATGTCATTGATACATACCAACATATTGAACACCAATTGTACATGTAATAAAGCTCTATTGAAAAGAAAGTTTGAATTTAGAAGAAATAGTTCATATGAATAAAACACAAACAAGTGAAGATTTTCATGTATGTTCTGAGAATTATATTTCTATCTGTGATCTATGATTATAAGAGAGTTGTTTTATTATTCTATATAATTCTCAAATCGACGTTCTCTCAATTGCATTTCGAATGAAAGAGATGACCGGATGATTTATGTATATGTGGAGTTATTTATAGAGAATGGAATTGATTCAGATTTCTTCATTTTTCATCAACTTACATTTGTGAAAGCTCCCATAAAAAATGTTTCCGCAGAAATTGACCAAAATCCAAGTGGTATGAGTAGAAGATTATTTGGATTGATAGAAGTTTTGAGTGTTGACAATGTATGATTAAGTGATTTTCGTAATAACCCTTGAGAATCATCATCTTCTATAATAAAACAATATCTTAGTTGATCATATCAAATATATATCATATTTATACTTACTCTTATTGTCACGTCTCTGAACAAGAAAAATGATGGTCAACACTATCGACACACAGATAATACCACTAAATATACTATAAAGAATGTAAATCTAAAGAAAAAGCATTTCATCAGTATTCTAACGACATAAATCATTTTTGATTGATATGATCTACCGTTTTCTGAGATATAAGTTGATGATTGTCATCTTGCATTTGATGTTCACTTGTTAAGTAATTAGCTCCACATTGTGTAGAATTAGTATTTGTAGTTTTTGGAGTGTTTCGTAAGACTAAATATGATATGAGATTACCTCATATTTGAGCTACAATAAGTAATATCAGTGTAAAAATATGCTTAAACTATATAATATAATATGAAACGAACCTGATTGAAATGCAGTAAGAAAGATTCCAAAATATTTTCTAGTTTTTATCTCAGCATCATCATCATTCTCACTTTCATCATTTGCAAGTGCAGCCACATAAGAATTTTGAGCCATGGATAAACAAGCTCGAAGACTTCCACATATGACTGCAGCTAAAAAAGAAGTATGTTATCACAATATTTCAGTCGAGATTGTTGTTTAACTTACTTGAATACATTAGCCATTGTTTGGGATACATATTAGATGCAACATATACTAATATACCAAACTGTCCTCCGACAATTGACCATTTGTAACCAAAAATATATCCAAGCGAAGTTGTGAATAGAAGACTTGTAACTAAAGAAGTACCATATGTAATTGCTACAGAATTGAGACCAACATTTTTATCTGTATTGATGCTTGATTGAAGACTGGTGACAGCTTGGAGTGAGGTAAATGCACAGATGTAAGCGAAACAGATCATTCCAAAATTCCATCTTGTACCACTTCTTTTACCTTTATTGTTTGCACTTTCATGTTGTACCTTTTCAGACATTTTTGACTTGAAATTGGAGTGAATAAATATGATTGTATTTGTATGAGAAACACAAATTTCAAAGAAGTATATATACTGTATCAAAACTGATGAGAAAATGGTAACTCAAAAAAAAAGAAATATTTTGACTATTACCTTAATGTCTCTATTGAGAAATAATTAGAATGATTTTTGTGAATGGGTGCATCTTGTTTTTTGTTAATGGTGTTATATATTTTTATTATATTACCTATGTACAGCTGACGTATCTGATAGGATTGAAATGTTGACAACAATTACGTGCTGAAAGACAATAGGACCGATCATTTAGCCTATTCATTATAAACAAAATGTGATACAGCCTATGTATTAATTGAAAATGAGAAAAAGATATAAAATTTTATCCTACAAATGCTGTCCACTTTACATTGTGAATAAAGAGAAAAAGTGCATTTATGTAATGTTTTTTTTATTGATTGATATTTTTCTATTTTTCAAAAGTACAGAACAGAAATAAGCATAGGGTTACTCTGCCCTGTGCTCATGTTTAATACACACTTATGTAATAATATTCTCATCTATAACAATATTTTTAAACGTTTGTTTGACATATCAATACCAATGGTATATTTATTTATTTTATAGAAATAAAGAGTCAGAATATCTCGTTTTTACAATATGAAAATTTGTTTAGTGAAAAATTCTATCATTATTTATATAAAAGAATGAGTAGATGAAAGATGCATCAATTAATCTTTTTCTCGCCATAATAATAAAAACGGAAAAGTTAAATCTTTGTATTGAATTATAAAATGTAGTCAACATGTTTTTCTCGATAGTTATGTTGATTATAATATTTTCTATTTTCTATTTATTGTTTTATTTTTATATTTTGTATCTACAATGTTATCCTTCTGCATCATCACATTTTGATATATGATTTGTGTTTTTTCATGAATGTAGTAATAGTTTCTCTGATTATTCTTTATAGTTGACTAATGAATTACACATGAATAGTTTTGGAACAACAAGATGTTAAATTGTTTTGTTTATTCATCTCTTACTGCTATAAATGATTGATTTAGTTTTATCTTGAATGTAATACATCTAATCATTAGAATAACTAAGTATTATTGAGACATATACTTGAGTTTCTGATGACGATCATAAGAGTGGATTTGTTATTTTTATACATTAGTTCATATCAGGACTGGAACTGGTGCATACCTAATTATATTCCTAAATATCTTAAGAACAGAACATATAAGAATATTGCTTAATCATATGAGATTACTACTTTCGAGAAAGCTTACGATAATCATATACATTTTGATTGAAATAATTATGAATCTAGCAGTAAAAAGAACATAATCCAAAAATTTATACAAATCAATAATATCTGTCATGTGATAGAATGATAGCAGTGAATATACATATGATTAACATATATTGTTTGGATACACTGATTTTTTTAAAGATAAATAAATAACTTCTGATCATTTTCGTGATGATTTGTTGTTATATGACAATAATCAAAGACGAAAATAAATAAAATATCTGCATGATACTCAGATATTCTCTTGGTATACCAAAACAATAAAAATTGTACAAATCTTTATAATCGAAATTCTTTATTATTTCTACAGTATTGATTAGAGTGTAACTGTTACGTTTGAGACTATGAAAAAACTGAAAATTTCTATATGTGTATATTGACTAATGCAATACTGCACATTGTTGTACTATTAAAAGTATCAATGATATTATAGAACAAAGTATATAATACAGAACTAAAAATGGTATCACTCCTACACACTCACACTGATCCTAACCCACACACCCACAATCTCTCACAGCGAACATGTTCCTCTAATAGAAATCTTCAGATACTAGATATTTTTTCGTAGCCTCTTTTGTTACTCAGACAGTGCTGAATTAATCAACATCGCTTCTTATATTTCTACTTTCAATAAATAAGATAATGATGCACATCTAAAGGGTTCGCTTCAGATTGATAAAGTAGAGGAAATGATATGTCTCTAATGGAGAGCGTATCCAAGTTGTCTAAATAATTAGAAGTTGTGAGAAAACTTCGTTTTTTGCGTCTGTTCAACAGCATCGAATGAATGTCAAGAACGTATTAAGATAACAATCTGATCATTAGCAGCATCCGAAAAAATAATGTCCAATTTGTTGTCGCCATTGACGTCTCCCACTACTACAGAACGCGGTTCTGTGGAAACTCCTGTTGCATACGTCATTTGAGGCTGAAATTTACCATCACCAAAATTGAGAAAAATACCAATGTTCCTTCCATTAGAGTTGGCAACGATAATGTCAGGTAATTTGTCGCAGTTTATATCAACTACAAACACCGATCGTGGTTGTGAATCGCGTCCAGTTGAATATATTGTCTGATTAAGAAATTTACCATTGCCAACATTGAGAAAAACTCCAACATTGCTCGCTTTAAAGTTACCCACAATAAGATCAGGTTTATTATCACCGTTCACATCAACCACAAATACAGGTCTTGGTTGCGAATCTATTCCAGTTGAAAATGTTGTCCAATTAGTAAATGTTCCATTGCCGGAATTAAAGAAAATACCAAGACTAGCTCCGCCAGAGTTCGCGACAATAATATCAGGATGAGTATCGCCATTGACATCCACTACTTGCGGACACGTCACGCCGTAACCATACGGAACCGAGAAATGTTTGTGATGCGGAAATTGCCCATGACCATCGTTTAGGAAAACACCGATAGTGTTCTTATTTTGGTTTGTCACGATAATATCGGGTTTTTTATCGCTATTAACATCAGCCACTGCAACTGCTGGTGGATATGTTTCGGACCCAGTGTAATAAATTTGTATGGCGTGAAACTGACCAGAACCATTATTGAGCAAAACACCAACATTATGTCCTCCATTGTTTGCAACAATAATATCTGGCTTGTCATCATCATTGACGTCTACGACTGATATATATTGCGGACGTGATGCAAGTCCAGTTGAGTAAGTTATTCGTTCACGAAAATTAGTACCTTGAATGTTGACGAAAACACTAATATTGTCTGCATTTTGATTAGCCACAATTATATCGGATCTGTTGTCGTCGTTGATATCAGTGAGCCATATAAAGATTGGAAATGAGTTATCGCCAGTTGAGTACCATTCTCGTGTTTTAAATAACATTTGACATTGCTCTATTACAAACAAAGATTGCTTTTATTATCTGTGTGCAGTAATATGTAAATATCATACCATCTTAAATAGTGTTATATTCAACTAAGTATGAATGTATCATATTCACTTTCCCATCGAAAACGAAGAAATTTGATTTATACATGAAATCATACACAAAGTCTATGAAACGGAGTGAGAATGATGTTACGAAGAGGTTAGAATATATATGTCTGAGTAGGTCTTATCTTTAACATTTAGTTAACTGCGCCCATTCTAAGGATCTTGCTATTAATATTTTTATATAAGAGATAGAATGTAAATTTCCTCATCGTTGAATGTGCAAATAAAAAATCCATAATATTTTCTAATTCAATATTCTCCTGTTGACATTATCCACTAAGCCTACTTACGATCAACGGAATTTTTTTTGTCAACTATTGTAAAATTTATATCATCACTTCATCAAAAGCATGAAGCACTTAGATAATACTGACCTCTTTGTGGTGGTGTCCTGATTGTTGTTGTTTTATCATCTAAAGACAGGCAGAAAGTTATTACAATAGAAAAATATACAAGCAAAGTAGAAAACGTTAATAGGATTATAGAACATGCAACGTATAATAAACTCTTTCACATCGTATTACAACCTTTCCAAAAATCTATCAGGGTCGCTTATGCATGCCATGGCCCTTTTCATTTCAATGTGAATTTTGATAACAAAAAGTACCTTCAATTCAAGTAGAATGCGGGTCTTGTGGATCTTAGAATATATATTATATATATACTAGCGGAGGTACCCGTATTGGTTCAGAACTTTATAGACTGAAAACTTCATATGTCAGCAAACGACAAGTAATACAGAGAGAGAGTTTTGCTTGAAATTTTTCATCTATCACCACAACATATGCCGCCGTACATATTTGAAATAGAATAACTCAGGCTATGGAGCACTCCAAATCCATTTGTGTTCTTACAGATCACGTTGCAAAATCTATCCGTTTTCTTACAGTTCCCGCTCCAACTCTATCTCTACCTCATTTCTGACCTAAAAAGGCTTAGATTTCGTGCTAGTTTCATCTATCGCGAATACACACACGTCCACGATAAAGCACGATAGTTCAACGAATATTGAGTGGGGATGATTATTTCCCTTCTCAATCGCCCTAACTTTTGTGTAACACAACCAGTCCAGTGCAAAAACGTAGTAATAGATGGATACTCTAAAGATCGATCAAATAAGTCAAACGAAATTCTGTTAAATTTCAACCACCTTGCGTCACTAGGGATGTACCGAGCCTCAGCCTCTCGGGCTCGTGCTCGAACTCGGTTTTGCTCGGGCTCGGGCTTGGGTGTCAGGATGGGTGTGGGTGAAAATAGTAAGTAAGAGTGAAAATGATAGTACCCGCACTCACCACACCCACACCTTCACTCGCCAACTCCCACGCTCATCTTGACACTCGAGCCCTGACCGAGCCCGGGCCCTAGGCTTAATCGGGCTCGGTACATCCCTACTTCCGTCTTCCATTCCCTCTCGACTTTTCCTGTACATAATGAAGTTTTATAGACGGTTTGGTAAACTTAGCTATTACATAACCACCTAGGTAAGATTTCACCCAGACTCCCTCTCTCAACCCCTATTAGTATCCCCAGCTATCTCTCGACCTTCTCCGCGATCTAACAAAAAGTACCATAGAAAGTTTGGTGACGTTAGCTATCACAGGACTATCTGGGTGAAATTTCACTCAATCACCCACTCCTAGGTGCGCTAACCTCCTCCCAATGTCTCTAGACCTAGAAGAGTATCATGAAAAACCTGGTGACGCTAGCTAATACGGGGATCCCTGGGTGAAATTTCACCCATCCCCCCTCCTCCATCCTTTTGATCGCGCCAACCTCATGTCGACCTTCCTCTGAGCCTAGAGGAATCTTATTGAAAATTTGATGACGATAGCTATTACAGGGACTGAATGGATAGCGAACAAACAAACATTCTTCTTTTGTATATATAGATATATTTAAAGACCCAAAGACCCACAGTCGACAAGAAATGATGGATATTTGATATACATATGATAATGTGGAAGCTGAGACATTTCGTGATAAAAATAGTATTTAAGTTGCGATCAGAATAAGGGATATTATGCGAATAGAGAGGATGGTTGTGGAAGAATTGAGAATTGTTAAATCACATCTTTTGACGAAGCTACTTATTTTGTGAAGATCCAGAAAAGCCTCAGATTTTCGAAAAACGAGCCCTCTTTTTTTTGTCGCCAAAATTTAGTTTCAAATGAAAAAGACTATAGACTTCGCTTATGGCAGGAATAGTAAATTCAAAAACTCTTTCTAAAGGACTTATGATAGAGTAGATCAATTTTATCCATTACTTAGAAACGTTTTTGCGCCGATTTCTGGCAGGATGTGGGTGTAGGTGACTAAGAAGTGAACATCCATACCGTGGCCCAGTTCCTCACCCACTCTCAAGAACAACTATACCTGCTATTATAGTTGTTGTCTTTTTGTTTGCTTGAACTGCCCACCAATATTTTAGAGCAAGAATTGTTAGGGCACCAATAACTATAATCCCAACGATCACAATAATGATCGTGCAGCACACTTTTTTTCTCTTTGAAGAGCTTCTGAAATTGAGAATATTATTGGCTTTTATACTATAAAAATAATTTATATACACTGTTGTCATTGAAGAAGGCCGTCCTTCAGTTGTATTTCCGACCATTTCGTAGTTCTAAAGTTTAGTTGGAAAAAATTTTTTTTTTCCCCTTTATTTAAAATAAGATCAGTGACATACTTCATGATTTTCATTCATTGTTTCAATGGTGTTTGACATTGTTCTAGAATTTATTTTAATTTCTTCTCCTAGAAAAAAAAGAATAGTACAAAAATATAATTTTTATCACTGATATTGAACGAGCATTTAGCGTAGATAGTGCTGATATCTACGTATCGTCTGTATGATACCTTCTTTTACGGATTCTGATCGTTGAGGGTGTGGATGTTATAATTATCGAGCATTCATACTCATACCTGTACTACAAATCATTAACTATTATTCTCTTTAAAGTTACATACAAAATGAGGGCTTAATTAGTCAAAGCTTTTCTTTGCTCGAACGCTCTCATCTAGAGGTGTAAGTCGTCGGCTTGGACGTGCGTCGACTCTAGCAAAAATGCCAGCCGTCGGCTTCAGCAAAAATCAGTTGACGGCTTACACCTCTAATCTCATTAATCTAACAAATGCAACGCTCTATATCATGGACAAAATAAAAACTTACTTCTCTTTTTTGCGACTCTTTTTTTCCAATATATAAAAGCAGATGTGAGTGATTATCTAGCATAAATACAGAACATGTTAAAAACAGTGCATGATTTTCATGCAGGAGACGGAAGCAAATTGTTTCAATCAACACTTTTAGTTATTCTTGATAAAAGTGCGATACAATAAAAACTATTATTTTGCGCAGAAAAATTTATTTTTCTGACGTAGAAAAAATGTTGCTAAATAGAATATTTTATTTCACTGCATGTGTCTATAGAAATAATATTCTAACAGTACATCAGATTTTTTTCTGTCTTACGTTTTACATTCATCATAAACGTATGTAACTCATCATGCCCATAGTCGATTTTTGTCGGACGACGATATCTTCTTGGAAAATATTTTTTCTCAATCTCAATCTTTTTCAACCACCAGTTGGTAGTAACCAAAATGAAGATGAACAACAACGTCGATTCAATATGCTTGTTACTCGAATCTATATAATTCTTCTTACATGTCTTCTCATTTATCTCGGTTTGTTTTTATATTCAGATCTAAAAGAGATCACCGAGAAACAAGATAATCCGACTAAAGAAGAACTAGATAGTTTTCTTAGCGATGTAGAATGCCCGTGTTCTCGCATTTCACTCTCATATGGTGATTTTATTTCACTGAAACCGATTTTACATCAAATATGCGTGAGTGATTTTGTGTCTGATCGTTGGATTAAAGCCATATACTCTGACTCGAACGTTACGTATTTCGATTTAAACGACTTTCGAACTTTTGGTAGCGCACAATTTCAAGCATTAGCCGGTTTTTGTAATCAATCAGAATCTTATCTTCGACAAAATATTGATTTATTTGGAGATAGAAAGTTTATCAGTACAAAAATTTTACAAAGGCGTCTTTTTCAAGAAGAGATTCAATCAACTATTACTCATTTTCAACAAACTATACATCGAACATTTGCCGCTGAATTACAACTGATCCTTCGAGTAATCACCAGCAATGAACTTATGTCTGGTCTTCAAACAAACTTTATCATATCATACGGCCCCTATGGCCACCCTGAAGTCAACGCCTCTAAATATATTGACTGGAATGAGGCAAATTGCAATTGTGCTGCAGATTATGGATGTACTTCTGATGCTATCTTTAGCGGCATATTCAATGCATCAACACAGATTCATTCTAGTAGTGGGAGAACGCTGCCTGGGTTAAAATCAGGCTGTTTGCCAGTGACTTCCATTCTGAAATCGACACTGGAGTGTTTTTATAGTCAGACATGTCTGAACACTCTTGTTTCATCTTTTTCAACAAAAGAAAAGTTTTCAGCTATGATAAATAGCAATATCAGTCGTTTCGGCCCATATGCAACCGTGCAATCAATCGTCGACAAGCTGATGGTGGAAGATTGGATAATGAATGTGTCTTATGAAAAGTATCGCGATAATTGTGCACCTCTTTCTTGCACTTATAAAAAAAAAAAGAGAGATACTTTAATAGCTGTGATGGCACAACTCATTGGTTTACTCAGCGGCTTGATAGCGGCACTGAGACTAGTTATTCCGATTATTGTTCGATTCATCGTGAATAAATTAAATAATGTACAATCACCACCATCCATGCTGACTCGTAAGTAATTCTATTCTCATGATAACTATGCTCTCTGTAAAGTTTAGCAGCTTCAATTCCTACATGTAGAAGTTGGTCTTTTTTCATAACGCAGCCAGAACCGAAAGGGCACTTTAAGAACCGGAGCCGAAGCCGGAGTTCGAGCCAGAGCCAGGATCAGACGAACACCTTTATTACCGAAGCTAGCGCTGATGTCAGAGCCCTTAGCAGCTGTTGGTAGGAATGTACCGAACTCGAACCCAAACCCTTCGGGCTCGAGTGTGAAGATGAATGTGGGTATGGGTGAGAGTGCGAGTGAGAGTGAAAAGGATAGTACCCGCACTCACCACATCCACACCCATCCTCATACTCGAGCCCTGATCGAGCTCGAGTGGTTCGATACATCCCTAGCTGTTGGCTTCGAACTGAATCTGGATTTTTCTCCATCTGTTTACTTCGTATGATTGTCTAGGGTAGATTTTCGGTGAATTTGATAGAGACAGGGCTGGGTAGCTTTTACTCTGAAGCTGAACCGACTCCTAAGAGCTGATCTTTTTTAAAAATGGTGTCGCAGCTGCTCAATTATAGTTCTTCTGTTAATTTATATAATTTCAATTTCTAGTTCGTGAACGTTTACGTCTAATCAAACCGGCTTTGAAAAAGATAATCGTTGAACTAAATACATTTGAATATTTTCCTCATAATGATCGACAACTTCAATATCAACGTTATGCTACTCGACTGTATATATTCTTGATCATTATTTCAGTTACACTCCTAGCTGGGTATAACCTAATGGACACATCCATTCATCGCCATACTTTTACTAATCCGTCAGAATCTCAATATTTAATTCTTGAAGAAGACAATCCAACTGATCTGATCTGTAAATGTACCAATATATCTGTATCTTACTCCTCTTTTATAACTATTCAACCTCAACGTCATCAAGTATGCTCGAGTTATTTGATTAAACCAGCATGGTTTATGTACACTGGTTCGGAGAGCACTGCTGCTCCGAACATAATCGACTATCGAATCGTTGCTAGGAATCAGTTTGAAACATTGAAAATTCTATGTGACCATGCTGAGAACATAGTCGTTGATGCTCTTGATATTTTTTTGCAAACACAGCTTGTCAACTCACAAATAATTAGTAAAAAACTACTTGAAGATAAAATGAACCACACTATTGAAAGTTGGAAAAACTCCACTATCATTCAATTTAAAAGCAGAATGGAACTTATTCGAATTACCACGATGGTAAATCAATTAATGACTCCTTCGAATACTCTTTTTAAACAAAATTTAACTGCACATGAATTAAAAACTGAGCCGCGAAAGTATGGTGAATGTAATTGTGGTACGACGAATCATACATGTATCGAACCCATGAAAATATACGAGAATGTTGGAAATGTTCATACGCCAAAATATACAATTCCTAATTTTTTTCTGGGTTGCTATCTGGTCGAAGCATTGTT